CCATTTTTCATTAGGTTCAATGGGTTTTAATGTATTTTCAGGAAGTGTGTCTGTTTGCTTCTATTTATTTGTAGATCTTTATTTTTGTTTGAGCAGCGAATAAACAACAATTATAATCGACTTCATCTATATATAGTAACCTGTTACTGTAATTGACTCCTGCTGTGTGATTGTATGTTTTTTTTTTTTACCCTTGTGTGAGTGAGGTGTACTTGTTGGGTTTGTCTGTCTGCTTGTTCCCTCCCCCCTTACCCTCTCTCTCTGTCTCCACTCACTTGTTGGTCACCCACAATCAAGCAGACCTGCCTTCAATCCAGACTGCACCTCACCACTATAAGAAGCCTTGCTGACATCCAGTCCCTGCCGGATTGTTGCACCACACACCGTATTTTGTGTGCCTTGCTTCAGCTCCTTTGAACTTTTTAGCCAGTGTAGTCTTTTGATTTCCAGCCTGCTTGCCAAGTTCTTATAACGGTTTCCTCTGCCACCAGATTCGCCTGTCTGCCAGCTCTCCACACCGGTTTACCTCTACCACCTTCACCCCTGGACTCAAACCCTAGCCTTCAGCCAGCCTCCAGATCACCCTTCACCAAACCAAAGACTTTGTGTTCACTACCACCAGTCTCAGACTGCTTTTGGGTTCAGCCTTAGAATCGTTACAGTTACATTCATCTCTTCGTCTTTCATCTTCATCCCAGCAATATTTGCTTTGTGCTCCATTGCACCATTGTATTCTTTACAGAAAGTCAGACTTGTCCATAGACATAGTATGCTGTTGTTCATTGTTGCTTCATACACTGGCATACAAAAACACACTTGGTCAAAAAAGCTAACTATTGTTGAACACAGCTGCTATACACACTACAAAGTCTTCCACATGAAATAGAACAGCACTTTATAAAGCACACTTGAAAGATAAGATATAAAATACGATATACCTTTATTAACCCCGCATAGGACAAATTGAAATTACACACAGCAGCACTGGGTGCAGTAAAAAGAGTACAGTGTACATAAATCTTATCACAATAAGAATATTACAAAATATAATATTAGAATTTTATATATATATATATATATATATATATATAAAATATAAAACTATAAATGAAAAATGTATACACTATATGCAATGTGCAAGTACAATGGTGTGCAAAATATTTTAAGCAGCTTGACAAAAAAAACTAAACTATACATGTGCAATTTAAGATAAATAATATAAGTTTAGTTGAATTAAATTGTACCACTGCTGAGATGATTAACGCTGATGCAAATGATATCAGCAGGGCTTCTAATAATAATAATAATTGAAAACAATTTTGAATGCTGAAACTCCTTCAACTTGAAGACAAAAATCAATTCGATGCAATAATAGCAAAAAAAAAAACAAAAAAACAGAACGACAAAATGTGTACAATAGCAACACAATCCAGTCACGTAAGAAACGTGAAGCAACAAAATACAGGTAAACAATACTGACTATAACCAGTTCTAGACACATGCAAAACAGCAAAAAGCCATGGCCCCCCTGAATCAAGAGCTGAAAAGACCCCACCCTCACCCCCAACTGGACCCCTCTCTTTACCCCAAAACTACAACAGCAATTTTTTGGTATAATATGACTTGCAGATATTCTTTGAAACACATACATTCTGTCATTTATTAATGAATGAGAACAGTGTTGAGTGTTGAAACTCCTCCTCCTCCACTTCTCCTCTCCTCAGTGTCTTTATAAGCTTCAGTCTCTCTTCTTCTCACACTCCAACCCTGCTCACCTCTCAGCTGGACAGTAAGGGACGTTTACACCACACACTGACAACATGCTGGGGACCCTCTGCACTCTCATCACTGCTCTAACATGTAAGATGTTCTTCTCATTCCTTTCATAGCCCATATTTTCACACAGAAACCTTTCACTCATGTATTTCTCTGTGTATGTTGACAGATGTTGATGCAGTAAAAGTGCTGACCCAGACGCCTGCTGTCCACACAGTTTCTACAGGACAAGAGGTTGTTCTCAACTGCAACATTGAGAGAGATGAAAACTATTATGTCAGGTGGTATAAACAGGTTCCTGGTGGAACTCCTCAGTATGTACTGAGATTTTACCATAGTAGCAGTTCACCCAGCTTTGGAACAGGATTCTCCTCAGACCGATTCAACTCTAAAGCCTCATCAAACATAGATTACCAGTTCATCATTAAGCGGGCAGAGACAGGAGACTCAGTTGTCTATTACTGTGAGACATGGGACAACTCTGCTAAGGATTACGTATCACAGTGATTTGCACTGTGACAAAAACCTCCTCACAAACTACTTCTGCTTTTTGAGTTTCTGACACACTGACTAATGCTCTCTATAACTACCCTACATAAGACTTTAAAAATAACTACAAACCAATTCCTTCAATCTAATCTTAAAGGTACATTTTACATCTTTACTTCCACCACTGAACATTAAGCAATAATTAATTCAGTGTTTGTTGTTTTCTGCTTTCCTTTTTGTTCTCATAACTTGCAGTAGACAGCACAGTGAAAAAACACCAATAAGAGATAAACAAAGATAACCATAAAGATTCATTCTTCAGCTTGGGATCAAATATATGTGATGAATTACTTCTGTTTGTGGTCTAACTGGGAGTTTGATAGCTTTGGGGTTTAATTGACCACAAACATCAGATACATCACGATAAGGCATCACATACTGTACATTTCTTTCAATGATTTTCTGGCAAACTAAAGAAATATAAAGCTGTTCCTGTATAGGCCATAAAACATCTATTTGGTGTGATCACAAAGCTTTATATTCATTTCTGTATTTTAATAATGTTTGTAGTCCAGTTTGTGGAAAAGTGGAGAGTTAGTACTGAATTAGGTCATAAGAAAAGAAGAAAATAAATCATATAATATATTTACACATAAGGCAGTAGGGTTGGTAGGACATCCAACAATGTCAACAAAAAACTGGGATAACAAGACAGAACATATATCCTGATGACTCCAAAATAACACAATACATTTATTATGTGTTTAACATTATCATAAGATTAAATTTAATTGTTTGAAGACAACTTTTGGCTGCACATAAGTTTGGCTGCACATAAGTTAAACATAAAATTACTCCAATACCACCCGTGCAGTCAATAACACCCATGTAAGTTCATCTGCATTGGTGACTGATGCACTTTGGAAGGAGAACACTTTCATTATGAACATTAAACTGAATTCACTGATGATATCTGGACTTTTAACATCTCCACCATGGAAACAAAAGGATGCAACAGAAGATTCAGAACCAGTCCTCAAGTCCAGCAGTGTTTCTGAATGTAAGCAGACTGATGAAGTGAATGAGATGTTGACAGTGAAAGTTGGTCTCAACAGGATGTTTCAGTTCCACTCCCCTCATTAGTGAGAGTCAGGAGGTTTTTGTACAGCCATGTATACAAACTGAATCACTGTGGTATTCGGACAAGGCACCAAGCTGATTGTGACAAGTAAGTTCCTTTTAACTGATTATAAAACAGGACAGATTTTCTGATTCTAATTATTAATATAAAATGATCATTATATGTGTTACTATGTTTTAAAAACATCAAATACATTATTAAATCATTAAAGGGTTGATGTTGTTTTCTCAGCTTTCATACAAAGCTGTTTTTGAAAAAAACTGAAAGTTTTTCAAATGTTTTATAAAAAGTTCAGTACAGTTATTTTCATAACATGTGACGTACTTCAAAATTACAAAACAATTCTAGCCCTGTTACATAATCTATTATGATAGCATTATAATATCAAAACTACACTGCTGAGAATCAGCACACTCAGAATTCAAATATCATTTTGTAAGTCACAGAAGGTGACTATCCAACAGCATATTTTGTTTGCTCTAAAAAATATGTTTTTAACTGCTTGTGAAGCAATAGTTATTAAGCAACTCCTTATCCAAATGTGTAGATTAGCTAATTATTATATAATGATTACTTTATTAACAAGTTAGTGAGGAACATGTTAGGAATGATTTGATAATTGAATAATCGTTAATAATTACTGCTCTAACAATTTATATATATGTATGTATATAATGATGAATTACAAAAGAACAGAGTGGGAGATAATATATTAATGACTCATTGGGAAATTATTAATTAGTAAATATCCACTTTACTTCGTTAGTAACCTAATTACTCAGTATTATGTATTTCTTTACTTGGGGTGCACAGAAACAGTAATTCATTTACATAGAATATAATATAATATAGAAATTTGTTCTTCACATGTTTCTGAATTAACTAATCATTGGCTCAAATTTGATAAGTTATTAATTAGTGACTATTTGTTCTTTAGTAGTTCCTCATTAATTCCTAATTTGTTGGCCTTGTAACTACTCAGAATGATCTGTCATTTTAATTGTTAATTTTTCTCAATGATTTTCTTTATAGTTATTTAATAAATGTCCTTCATGTATTTTCAGGCTCCAGCCTCTCTCCTCCTGTCCTGACAGTCTTCCCTCCGTCCAGCGCTGAGCTCCAGTCCAACACAGCCACTCTGGTCTGTCTGTCCATTTTGCCCAGTGGGTCTAAGGGTTTTGCAGATGTGAGCTGGGTGTCTGGTGGGAGTCCAGTGAGCAGTGGGATCTCTACCAGCACCGCTGTTCAGAAACCAGACCAGACTTTCCAAATCAGCAGCTATCTGGCCATCCAGACGTCAGACTGGAACATGGATAAAGTTTACACATGTAAAGTGTCTTTGGGCTCCCAGACTTCAGAGAAAAATATCAAGAAGTCAAACTGTCCCATTGAATAATAGCAGAGGAGCAGAATGACCATTTCTAATCTGCTTCTTTACTGTTTGTGCTGTTTGCTCATTACAAGGTTTACATGTTAGAAAAGATGTGTCTGCATGCTTGTAATAAATGTTGTGACAGTTAGGTGGAGGTGTTGTATCAGCTTTGCAACTGCTGCATTTTTCAAGATTCATTCAATAAAAAAATACAAAAAACTGTGAACTTTTTATTTGATTTATTGAAAACATAATTTGAAACAATAATGTTCTACACAATATTGTAACCTTTACCAAGTTACAGATATATTTATAATTCTTACTTGAATGTGTATATTTAAATTCAGAAAACTACGTTGTCATTACATGTTAATTTATAATAAAAGCACAACAGAGAGATTAATATTACGTTGCCTGCTTTTAGTTGCTTGCAGTAGTTCAGACGTTAGAAAAATCTGATCAAATGAGAAAATGAAACTTAGTTTTCATCCTCCGTCAGTGAAGCATCACCTCTCTACTCCTCCCTCTCTTCCTTCCCAGGATGCACCTGCAGGCCTCCTCTCCTTATTTATAGCTGCATGTAAATGAAGATGTCAAGGGTCAGCTATCACTTGGTGACATATAATGTGTATATCTTATCTACAGAGCCAAGACATATATTCTGCAAAAGATATCCACTTTCCAGACTTGGATATTATATAATGGTGATTTAATTCTGCAGTTAAGTTGCAGTAAATCTTTATCTGATATTTTGAAAATACACCTTGAACTAATTCCATTAATTAACAACTGGACACAGCAAAAATACACAACTCTAAAACGGATTTTCTCACATCATTAATTTCATAACGTTACTTTTATAAACAAACATGGAATGTAATAAACACATACATACAATTATCTGCACAGATATGAGACCTACAAGGCAGTGATGTCACAAAACATATCAAAATTATAAGGAGTATGCCGCTTTGAAATGAGTGAAATCTAGCAGTGTCATATGCAGACTGAAAGTATTTTATTTCCAAAGCTCCTCCTCCTGTCAGTCACTCTCAGTTTCAGTGTTGTATTAAATTGCTCCTCCAGCACCTCCTCTCCTCATCCTCCAAACCCTCTAATCTGTCAGCAGTACGCTCACTTTCCAAGTTACAAGGCCATTCTCAGCACACACTGACAACATGCTGGGGACCCTCTGCACTCTCATCACTGCTCTAACATGTAAGGAGGCTGACTTACTGCAGCTTTGAGCTCATGTTGGATTCATCAGTCTGTGTGTTTCTCTTGACTCCATGTCATCTTGTTGTTTCCAGGTGTGAGTGGTGTGACGGTGGTGACACAGAAGCCTCCTGTTGTGACGCAGAGGAAAGGAGAGACAGCCACCATGGACTGTAACCTGGGGACTGTTACTAACAGTGCTGCTCGCTGGTATAAACAGATTCCAGGAGGAGTTCCTCAGTATGTGTTGAGGTTTTATCACAGCAGTAGTTCTCCAAGCTATGGCTCTGGTTTCTCCTCTCCAAAGTTCACCTCTACTCATCAGTCACAATCAGATTATCGTTTGATCATCAACAATGTGGAGGAGGGAGACTCAGCAGTTTATCACTGTCAAACATGGGACAGCTCTGTCAGTGAGTATGTATCACAGTGATTTACACTGTGACAAAAACCTCCTCACTGAACACTTCTGCTTTTTGAGTCTTTAAACGTTTAAACTCTTTTATTGGATTCTCACATAAATCCTCAGATCATTCCTAGTGGTAGTTGTATACAATGTACAATGCAAACATGATATAAATGTTTCTTGTCACTCAATGATAAAACAATGAAGATAAAGAAAGTATGCAGCAGTCTCATTTGCTGATCTAAATTTAGGAAATGTAAAAAATCATTCTTGATATAAATCCTCTGCTGTAGTGATGATTATTACTTGTATTAAAACTGTAGTTGCATTTTTTTTCATAACCACGTTCAAAGATCATCTGGCAACCAAATCTCACAAAAACTAAAAGTGATTTCATGTACAGCTAAAACACAACCAGATGAAGATGTTTCATTCACCTGACAATATGTCATATTGAATATAGTGACTCTTCAGTGAGAGAAAATGAACTGAGACGAGAAATAAACAGCTTCATGAACTCTATACCCTGCTTATTACTGTTCTCGCATACTGTAATAAACAAAAGAAACTCATGGATAAAATAATATTCAGCAGGTGATCATATCAAGTTAATTTCTTGCTAATAACACAGCTTGTTTAAAAGACAAACAATTTATAGAAAGAGTAATAATTTTGATGAAAATAATATTAGAAGGATTCCAATAACAACAGGAACAACAAAAATATGACTTTCACTATCCATCAGGATTCATCTGAACAAACTGGATAAACACTCAACATCATAGCTTTGATATTGATAATTGAGAACTTAAACATTTGCATTTAAACCATGGGTAACACTTTATAATGAGTACACACTATAAAGCATTAGTTAAGCATGAATAAATAATGAATTCATCATTTATAACGCATGAATACACATTAGTATGTAGTTTATAAACACAGGTTGAAAGCTAACGTTAGCTTGTCAGCAGCTTCAGGTGCCGACCGGTACCGACCCGCCGCTGCTAGGCGCTCACCTCGCCCGGCTAGACGAGACTAGACTAGGTCGGCTTAGCCACCGCGGGCGGGTCGGTAACGGTAGTAACGTTACTAACATTAGTCGGGGAGCGAGGGCAAACACCTGCAGCTGCTGACAAGCTAAATTTAGCTTTCAACCATAATGTGTGCTACCAAACAAAGACACATACTCTCCACTAGAGCCGCTGACGGCCGCCGACTCCAATGTGCTTCTCCATGCTCCCCTTGGCTGCACTGTCAGAAACCTCTGAGAGTTAACGTAAATATGACGTAACATCACGTTGATGACGTGCTGAGAGCGGGAGCTCAACGTACACGTCCCAAACAGATAAGATCACAACAATAGCATGTCTTCATAAACCACCCTTGTTCGTCTTCATACAATATGTTGGGAAGTTGCAATAAATATCAATACAATATGTTCTATATCCCTTTGTGTTGTGTCTCTCCTTCGTCTGTTAAGATAACTGAACATTTTGTGAGTCTCGAGGCATTGTCAGCCTTTATATCTCATTTGTAAATGCTTAATAAGCCATAGATAGTGCTCACTTTAGATGAGCTCGCACAAAATACTTAATTAACGAGTAGTAAGTGCTTTGTAACTGTGAATTCCTGCATTAATAACTGTTTATAGGCCATCAGTAGAAAATGAATTTGTTGTGAGTTTTATAGAACATCTGCTAACACAGTCACTAATCATTAATACATGTCTGAATAGTGGATGTGCAAGTGCATGCAGAAATGTACAGTACAATGAAGAGTAGAACATTTATAACTGTGATTATAAACCACATAGTAATGACTATTTACAGCAGAATCAGGCTTTATAAATGATGGATTCAGTATTTACTAATCCATAACTAATGTGCTTATCAATGATGAATAAAACATTTTTAACTGTGTTTATAAACTACATAGGCTACTAATGTGTATTCATGCGTTATAAATGATGAATTCATTATTTATTCATGCTTAACTAATGCTTTATAGTGTGTACTCATTATAAAGTGTTACCAAACCGGGTAGTCTTCGTTATTGATTTCTTTTTTACTGGACCTATTTACAACATAGTCCGATTCAACATAAATAATAAATGAATGAAGGAGTGATTGAGTGTGGTCAGTCCTTAATGTAAAAATACAGAAAGTTCAAAGAGAACATTCATGTGATAACACAAGTGGATTTAATACTCAAAGGACATCAGCAGACTTCTAAAAGCAATGTGAAGAAATGTTTGTTATGAAACAGGACATTTCACATGAGTTATGCAAAACCTCCCATGCATGATTTTGTTGATTAATGAATGAAAGAGAATCTGAAAAAATCTGATTATTATTGAACAATGTTTACTGAACTTGATGTAACAGACAGCTGTGATAAAGCATGTACATGAAAACTAATGAAGATGTATTTAGTATGTGATTATATTTACTATTTCTTAAAACATGAAACAGAACAACACTTTATAAAGAACATTTGTACCACCACTGAGATCATTCACACTGATAAAAGGACATCGGCAGGCCTCCAGTTACATCAGGAACAATGACAAACACACTGATTTGTGGATATGATGTGAAACACATACATTCTGTCATTTATTAATGAATGAGAACAGTGTTGAAACTCCTCCTCCTCCACTTCTCCTCTCCTCAGTGTCTTTATAAGCTTCAGTCTCTCTTCTCCTCACACTCCAACCCTGCTCACCTCTCAGCTGGACAGTAAGGGACGTTTACACCACACACTGACAACATGCTGGGGACCCTCTGCACTCTCATCACTGCTCTAACATGTAAGGAGGCTGACTTACTGCAGCTTTGAGCTCATGTTGGATTCATCAGTCTGTGTGTTTCTCTTGACTCCATGTCATCTTGTTGTTTCCAGGTGTGAGTGGTGTGACGGTGGTGACACAGAAGCCTCCTGTTGTGACGCTGAGGAAAGGAGAGACAGCCACCATGGACTGTAACCTGGGGACTGTTATTAATACAGTTTACTGGTATAAACAGATTCCAGGAGGACTTCCACAGTTTGTATTATATTTTTATCACAGCTATAGCTCTCCCACCTATGGTTCTGGTTTCTCCTCTCCAAAGTTCACATCTACTCATCAGTCACAATCGGATTATCATTTGATCATCAACAATGTGGAGGAGGGAGACTCAGCAGTCTATTACTGTAAAACATGGGACAGCTCTGTCAATGAGTACGTATCACAGTGATTTACACTATGACAAAAACCTCCTCACTGAATACTTCTGCTTTTTATAGTCTCTGACACATCTTTTCTGGGAGTGAAACATTCAGCTAATGTTTTCTGTAACTTTCCCACTTATACATAAAGACATATCTTTAAACTTCTAAACTCTTTCATTGGATTCTCACATAAATCCTTCCTAGTGGTAGTTACATACATTACGCAATGCGTACATGCTATACATGTCTCTTGTCACTCATCGTGAATGAATCAAGTTAAAGAAAATGTGTCTCATTTGCTGATCCAACTTTAGGAAATGTAAAAAAAATCGTTCTTGATATAATTCTCTGCTGCAGTGATGATTATTACTTGTATTAAACTCTCTTCATGACCAGGTTAAAAGATCATCTGGCAACAAAATGTTACAAACATTGGTCAATATTAGACAGTTCACTTCTTCTTTGTATGAATGATTTTAATGTGTGCAGAGTCAAAACGTATATCCCGCAATAGTTATCTTTCCTTAAAATGCAAAATTCCCAAACTAAATAAAACAATCAAAAAATTATACACGATTGGTTTGGTGGATTTCAGTTTTTTGGATGCGAGCAGAGAACCAATTCAATGACAATGAAACTGCAGGAAGTCTTTTTCAAATCATGCTGTCATAATATTTTGGAGAAATTACCTATAGAGACACAAATGACCTTCACAGAAGATGAGAGACCAACAAATGCAGATATAACCAAAACTCAACCAAAAAGGAAACCTTGGTAAATGAAATAATATTCAGCAGGTGATCATATGAAGTTAATTTCTTGCTAACAACAAAGCTTAAGAGACAATCAATTTTAACAAAGACTAATAATATTGATTCCAATAACAACAGTAAACAAAAATATGACTTTCACTATCCATTGGGATTCATCTGAACAAACTGGATATACACTCAACATCATAGCTTTAATTTTTTGAGAACTTATAGAAGTGTTATAAACATGAAGTAAACATTTGCATTTACACCATGTTGTCTTCGTTATTGATGTCGTTTTTGCTAGACATAGATATAACATAGTCCAATTTAACATAAATTATAAATGAATGAAGGAGTGTTTGAGTGTGGTCAGTCCTTAATGTAAAAATACAGAAAGTTCAAAGAGAACATTCATGTGATAACACAAGTGGATTTAATACTCAAAGGACATCAGCAGACTTCTAAAAGCAATATGAAGAAATGTTTGTGAACAACACAAGTTATGAAACATGATATTTCAAATGAGTTATGCCAAGATGATTTTGTTGATTAATGAATGAAAGAAAATCATAAAAAAATCTGATTATTATTGAACAATGTTTACTGAACATACTGTAATAGACAGCTGTACCCAAAAACTAATGAAGATGTATTTAGTATGTGATTATATTTACTTTATTTCTTGCACATGAAACAGAACAGCACTTTAAAAAGAGCATTTGTACCACCACTGAGATTATTCACACTGATAAAAGGACATCGGCAGGTCTCCAGTTACATCAGGAACAATGACAAACACACTGATGTGTGGATATGATGTGAAACACATACATTCTGTCATTTATTAACGAATGAGAACAGTGTTGAGTGTTGAAACTCCTCCTCCTCCACTTCTCCTCTCCACAGTGTCTTTATAAGCTTCAGTCTCTCTTCTCCTCACACTCCAACCCTGCTCACCTCTCAGCTGGACAGTAAGGGACGTTTACACCACACACTGACAACATGCTGGGGACCCTCTGCACTCTCATCACTGCTCTAA